CTGGAGGAAAGCCTCTTCAGTCACATCTCTTAACTGTCTGCCCCTCGTCCTCCCCACCCAGCCTGCTGATCTGTGTTTCTAAATATACTCCTCATTATGTATATGAAAATGTAGAAATATAAGAATAGCATCCAGTGGCATGTTCAAGCTTCTAGTCTGTTTTTATAACAACATTCAACCCTGTTCTGGAAAGCAGCAGAACAGATTAAAGATCACAGAAAATTGTTTCTGGTTTACTGTTTCTGGTTTTGCAGACACTCATTGAATTCCCGGATAAAATTTCTTTGTTACTCCATGGCCTTGACATGTGCTTGAACATGCTAACATAATGTGCAGAGCTATTACATGAGGTAAATTGAAAAAAATAGCCCCCAGTATGTGGTTTGACTTGATGATACCGTAATCTGTAGGACAGTGGATAGCACACTTCAAATTCTTCACATACAATTGCCTAATCTTTGCATTATAAGTTGGAAAATGGTTAGGTTCATAATTGTCTCAAACTGTTTGGGCATTTCAGTCAGTAGTAGGTTATTTTTAAAGTATGCTTAGGCAGTACTTGCTATCTTTTTAAATTCATATTCAGATGCTGGATATCAGACAGATGAATTGGTGAAGCAGAAAACAGATTATTCCAGGGTCTGTACAGGAGGCTCTCTATATAAGAAAAGAGTCCTTAAAACTATATGTGCACTAAAAGGATTGTACAAATCAAGCTCAGTAGACATCAGATCTGGTGCCACCATCTCTTTAAATTTTGTTTCCCATAACTACGTACAGTTGCCTCACTATACAATGGTTGAAAAATACAGAATAATACAAAGGACCTTTATGTAATATCATAAGAACAGGCTGGCTCTAGTTACTTCCGAATCCTTTCCAGCAAGAGAGGATAGAGGTGCATTTTTTTAATGCCGTTTCTATAGCCCAGGCAACTCTAGGTTTCCTTTGGCAGGCTGCTCTGCCAGACAATGAGCAGCAAGGCCTGTGCCCCTGAAAGGAATTCAGAACTCTGTGCACCTGCAGAGCTCACGTACTTTCACTTGGTGAGGACTGCAAGTTTCTTAATGTGCCTTTACACTACCTGCTTTTTTTTTTTTTTTTTACTGGATGAAGGTCAGGAAAAAGCCAAAAATGTTCTTGCTTGTGTAATTTTCAGTTGAGATCAGCAGAATCTAATTCTCCAATGTGATGTTTTTCCATCAGTTTGTGTAACTTAAACACAAGTTAGATGCCATGTGCCCTGGCAAAGGAGCTAGGAGGGTTACCATTTAGTAAAATTTGGAACATGAATATTCAAACCTATTTTAAATGGTAAAAAAAAAGTTACAGTATTCCTTATCTTTGAAATGCATCTTTTGCCTGCGTCTCCAAAGATAAAGAAGGCAGAGTTGCATTTTGATTAATTTATTTTCAAGCACCTTTATCTTTTGGAAACTTGGGACTCTTTGAGACCTGTTCGTAAGGCTCATAATACACAAAGATACTGCTGCTGCCAAGGCACAGCATTAAGACTCTCAGTATACATATTCACATGCTTGATGTGTTCCTGCCATATCTAAGATACATGAAAACACTTCTACAATTATCTATAAGATCAAATTCTTCACTGAGTGTATAAAGGTAAAATTCTGACTTCAACATTGCCTGAAATGGAGTTGAAAGAATTCTTATTGTGTCATGTTACAGCCATTTTAATGGTGAAAGCTCTCTGTTGAGTACAACATGTCCATGAGTTATTGCTTATGTAGGAACGTTGTACTGTGGCTGCATGTTCCCTAATGAGATTAAGCAATCAATTCATATAATCTCTCATTCTGTTGATTGCTTTACTGCTGGTAAAAGGACATTTATGTAACTTACCTGCACAGAAAACCACATCCCTTCTGCTTGAGAGATGAGAATGATGACAGACTGTGAATTTCCATGTGTGGTTTTGGAGCAGCAGCTGGGTCTTGCCTTAATTAATACCCCCCAGCAACTTTGTTCCAGACTGTGTACTAATTTTTTATGAACAATAAAAATTACTCTTACATCTTCACACAAGGCACTCAGCGTTTCCTCACAATACACTTTTTCTTTGAAGAGAAATTGCTAAACCTCAACAAAGCTGGGAAGTACTCTAAAGAACTGTTAGCACTACTAGAGTGATGCCAGCTGTCAGTGGAAAATCACTTGGCCAAGAAACTTAAAACCAAGTACCAAGAAGATATAAAATGAAGACTAGAGAGGACTGAGGGGGGAAATAGTCCCTAGGAAGGAGAAGTACAGGATTTGTAGAAATATAGTGGAAGAAATACCACATTTTTTGGCTCAGCACCCAAATCCTCATCACCATCAACATCAAATCAGACAGATGAGTGGGAACCTGAATGTTCTCATCCAGACCTGATGTGCCGTGAGGAGAAGGGGAGATGAGTTGTGCAATACTTTCATCACCTGCTAGTGCTGGATAACACTGAGCTTACACAATCCTGCTTCAGAAGCACGTTCCTCTTTAGGAACTGGAATGTTGTGCCTAGTGGTGGCTCCCAAATGCTAGAATCATGGACAGGAGCAGCTGGTGCCATTAAACTGATGAGAACAGAAGGTGCCATTTTCCCTCTGCTTCATGGTGGTGTCAACAGCAACGCAAAACATTGCATGAAAACTTTTGCTTTCCTTGTCTGAAAGCACTCACTTCATGGGACAGTTCTTCAAGTGAAGAACATTTGCTGATACCATTTGTAATGAAAATAAACAGAAATGTTAACTCAGACAATAGAAAGCTCCAAAGACCGTTGTCTTAGCAAAAACTGAGCAAAAGCTCAGGGATGAGGAACTCTGATTCTGCAGGCCACATCTACCCCAAGACCATGCCTCACTGCCCTTCTTCCCAGGGGTTCTAAAGCCCTCTTAGATGTATATCTCTACTATGACCAAAATATAGGGACAAGACCAGTGAATGTGGTCACACAACAGGGCTGTCACACCCCAGGCATGTCCCACCACAGGGAGGAACATATCTAAGAGCACAACTGGATATATGACAAACAGCCAGAATACTTTTGTTTCCTGTTTCTAGCAGCAGATGGAGAGTTCAGTCCCTGACAGTTTGCAGCCAGAATAAGGCTAAGGAAGACACTGAATGGATTTGCATGGTTTATTTTATGCAACAAGATTATATCCTTTAAATCCAGTTGGTTGTGGTTTTATTCTTAAATTCATTTGTGTAACCCTGAGATTTTTAGGCTCTACGTCAGGGGAAGCCACAGTTCTGTTCATCTTTAGTGCCTTATGCAGTCCCTAGGCAGGGTGGTCACAGTTCTCCATACAACATCTGTGTGTACTGCACAGATGAAACCACTGCATTATGCATTGTGGTTGTAGGTGTAATGAAATCCACCAAATGTGCTTAAGAGCAATTTGTTTTAATGAGCTATGGTCTTTTTCCTAAATAATCAAGGAAACATTGGGGAAACTTGTTTTCTCCAGATTATTGAACAATATCCTGTTTTAAAAGGACTTGCTTGTCTGTTCATTGAGACACTGAGATTTGTCTGAAGTATCTTGGAGGCCTCATGAACAGAGAGAAAAGGAACCTACAGAACAATTTTTCTGAGCAGGAGCCTCCCGAGCAGATTCTGGAGATAAATGTTATTGCCAAATCTGTGAATTTTAAGCAGATTATCGGCTGCTTAGATTGAAGATTTGCTGGGGTCAATTTTTATCTCAGACAGTTTTAATTAAGGTGTATTGAGTTTCTCCAGGAGGTGATTTTCTTTCTTTATTTCCTATTCAGTGTACTGTGGAGAGAACTTCTATTTCTTAGCTTTGTCTAGAATTTACGTGGCTCTCTGGGACTCTGGAACAGGCTATTCAGAATTAGAAACATTAGGATTAGTGCAAGTAGGAAGTTACTAAAATTACAACTACCAAAAATGCTAAGTCTATGTATTTAGGTATTCACAAAAGAATAAGATGTTCTCAATTAATAACAATTAAAGAACACGTGATGTTCAGATGCAGCGACAGTAAGAACCAAACCAATAAGCAGAAGTAGTAGACAGCAAATTTCATGATTCAACGTTTTCATTTTTATGAAATGGAGAAATTAAGGATGGAAGCATGAGGTTCTTCCTCATATGCAGCACATCAGTGATGAAGCTGGGAATAGATTCCAGATACCCATCTACCCAACAACAATGCTAATTCTGTCTGCAGCCTCTGCAGAGCTTCCTAGACTGCACATCTACCACAGTGCATGGCCCTAAAGCAGCACCAGGCCTCTGTCCCACGGCTGAGATCTGTTCAGAGCTGCACCGGGTCACCAGATGGCTCCTTCTGTGAGCTCACTGCTCTTTGCTCCAAGCTTAAGTGCCACAGCTTATGAGGTTTATGTTAGCTATTCAAAAAGGCTGGTACCTTCAAGGTGACATCTGTCCCCTACTGGAATACAGCACCCCCACCTCACTTGAGTGAGACCCAAGGCAGTGAACAAGGGAAACTGCAGTACTTTGTAGCAAATGCAGAAACCACAGGCACAGCTGTGGAGAATACATCACATCCACTGCCTCAAAATTGACATTTTGCATTTTTACAATAACTTCTAAAATAGCTGGAGAAGACCTCATCATGCCTTCTTAACTTCAGCACTTGGTCAGACACATAGGGACAGCTTGGAGGAATAAGTGAATATACTATAAAGCTCAGTACAGCTATTATTAAGTCATAAAGTTCAACAGACACAAGAGATATGAGATGTCCATGAAAGGATCAGGAGCCCAGCATCCCTGAAGACCCAGTTATCAAACAAGGTATATGACTGGTCTGACAGCATTTTTAAATGGGCTGGAATACCACAGCAGCCTGCTCTGGCAGAGGATAACACCTCCATCCACTTAGTGCCAAGTGGCATTCAGCCTGCTTCCAACCTTTTTATTCTATATTCTGCGTACAAAAAAATAGCCCATGGAAGACACTGCTCTCCCGTCTAACCGTGCCGTGTTTGCTCTCTGCAGGTGAGCGGCCTTTTGAATGCAGCTGGCAGGGCTGTAACAAGAAGTTCGCTCGCTCGGATGAGCTGGCCCGGCACTACCGCACTCACACCGGGGAGAAGAAGTTCAGCTGCCCGCTGTGTGAGAAACGCTTCATGCGCAGCGACCACCTGACCAAGCACGCCCGGCGTCACGCCAACTTCCACCCCAGCATGCTGCAGAGGCGGAGCGGCAGCGGCTCCAGGACAGGCTCTGTCAGTGACTACAGCCGCTCGGACGCCTCCAGCCCCACGATCAGCCCCGCCAGCTCCCCATAGCCTACCTGCACTGGATGTCAGCACTTTGCCTCTAATGCCTAACGTGGAGTTTTGTTGGTGTTGCACACATTTAAAAAACTCTGTTGCTTCCCCTCCTTCAGTTCCCGCCCTCTCTTTTTTAAAAATCAGTAAATAGCTGCTTCCTCCTGCAATTTTTAGTCAGATTTTCTTTACCCAACCATACAAGTGGCTATTCTAACCTCATGGACAGACAAACTTACATGTTACTCTTAGCGACTCCTGCTGTCTCCATATTTCATATATTTTGCAACCATATATGGATCCTCTTCATTATTCTTTATAAGAAAATGAAAAAAATCTAAAAAAAAAGGAAAAAATCTACTTAATTCACCTCAGGTGTTGAAGTAGTTTGTAAAACTGGATTGCACAATATGAGCATACATACACTTAAAAATAAACTGTGTTGGATTTATGTCCCCCTTCTCCTTTCTCAGGGATGGATATTTATGTTACACAATAATTACAATGAAGACACACCCTAACCACAGCCTTACTCTGTAAATATAATTGCACTCAGAAGCTTTTTGTTAGGTTCTTTCACACACTGGGGAAAAAATAAAAAACAAGCAAACAATACAGAAACCAGCCTAATACTGGAATGTAGTACTGGACTCTTCCATTGCTCATTTTCCTGATTATATACCTGTGTTGGGGAACCTCCAGACAGGAATCTTGTCTTTCTTCAAGCTGCCCTCTGCCTATGGTAGCAAGTTGTCTTCTCACTTCTGCTGAAGATGCTCCAAAGCCAACTTCCAATTGCAAAAATCTCTGTGACGTTGATAAACTTGTTTGTTGGTTTATTTCATGCTAGATAAAATTCTGAGAAAAATTTCTCAACAAGATGCCTTAAATGAGTAACCTAAATCACAAAGGAACAAATTTACACTGGGTAACGTTTTATGGCAAGGTGGCTGGAATCTTGGAGGCATTCTATTGTCAACTCTCTCCAAGCTGTTAAGCTGTCTGCACTGCCTGTTCAGTATGGGACCAACAGAATATTCAATCAAACCACACTGACTTGAACAATTTTCTTTATTTCTTCTTCCTTTGTTTTGTTTTCTTTTTTAATTAACTACAGAAATAGCATTACTGAACCAATGCCCACCAAAACTGTTATCAAGGTACTTACCTACTGTACAGCTGTATATTAGAAGGAAAAATTGGCCAAGACATAGTTTCTGTATTCTGTTGCATCAAAATTGTGGTCGTTAATAGAAGGAAGTGAAAATCATAAGGTATCTTCTCACTGGAATAATAAAATATGCATTTTTAAGTTTAAAATAAAATTACATTATAGCTCAGCACTACTTCAAGTTTCTCAAAAATACACATACCAGCATAAATCAAGGTGCTCTTATTTCTGCTTAATAACAGAAGGAGAATATTGGCTAGTTTTCAATAACTTTCAAATATCTAACACTAGATAGAGCACAAGGATTTTCATGTTTTATATGGTAGAAAATATAGTAACAGACCAGAAACATAGTGATGTACTGAAAACCTCACTGGCAGCAAATACACATTCCTTGGTTTGTCTGGGTCTGATGGTGCATATTATCAATTCAGCTCCTTTTGATTCTGGAATTTTGGGATTTTTGCTGTTTGGTTTTTATTTTTTTGGTTTTTTTTTTTCTGTAGGGTATAAATGCAGTTAAGTGTAGCATGGTGAAAAGAAACTCTCTATGCCAAACCAGTCATTTGATATTAAGTGAATGCCTCCAGATTCCCCTTGAACCTGTATCTTACTTGCTGCTTTGCATTGATCCAGTTTTGCAAGGTTTTATTGTACTGTATGTTAACTGTGAGAAGCTAATATAAATTTCCAAGTAGTTTCATAGGTACTTCCATAATATACATTATTCCTAATAGTGCACCTTCTATTATTTGTACAAATAAATACTCTGAGTATTTATCAATACAAATACAACTATAAATCTAAACAAATGCAGATGTTTCAGTATTTTTTTTCATGTTCATTTGCTCCATATTTCACCTCTGTTAATTTCCCCCTTTGAATTGGAAGTTGTGAGAGGCACAATTCTACTGTTTCATTTCACAGAAAATGAAAGAACATAGTAAGGGTTTTTTCCAAGATGACAAATAGAGTTAATGTGGTGAGTTGCCCAGGCTCTGGAGTTAGGGGAAAACCAGATCTGTTGGCCTCAACAGATTTCCTATTTTCTTTTTTTTTTTAATGTCATGTGCTGAGATACACAATTTTAACAACTTGATAGAATTCAGACAACAGGAATTCATATTCCAATAATTTCTGTCACTCCTAGAAGTGCTCTTGTGCTGCAGTTAGTGGAGAGACATTTCAGATATCTAGTTCACGGAATTCTACAGGTCAGCTCTGTCTTGTGCACATACTTCAAAACAAGTCAAACTCATTTCTCATTATCATTATACCTTAAGAGAGGTATATGGAGAAGTGGGGGAACAAGAAAATCAAAAGGAGCACTCGGTATTGGCAAACATTATAGGCTTCATGTTCCCAGTTCATTTGCTGTAAAATCACCTGTTCAAACAAGAGCATCATTTAATCTTCAGGAAAGGAGGAACCACTCAATTTCATTTATTTAGGACTTAATAATTCAGCATGAATCAGTTTATGCATTACAAACAAGTTGTTTTACTAGCCTGAAGAAGGAATATTTGCACCAGGTTTTATCACTGCTGAGATTATAGGATATAAAGATTTTGGGACAACCTAATCTGAGGGACAGAGAACTAAGTAATCTCTAACTCAAACAGTTAAGTAATATTTTACTCATATACTTCACAGATTTTACTAATAATTTTTCAAGTTTAAGCAGGAGAAAATAAATTGGTTCAAAGTAAAATTTTCAGTTAAGTCAGTTCTTTTAATGAGAACACCATGGGGCTGTATATAGCCAACATAAGAACAATTTCAGAAAATACTCTGAAATTGGTCATTAAAACTTTTTTTGTTTTTACATCTCAGCTGTAAATACCTCAGGATGTATTAGGCTGACAGTCAAGTTACTGTGTTTTAAAATCCCAGATAGAGTTTCAAATATTTCCATTAGAGGTTTAAAACTTTATAGTTTTAGGATAAAATGATAAATTCCAAACCACTAGTATTTTCCAAAATTGAATGTAAACAAAAATTTCTCTTAATATTTTCATATGAGAAAAGAATGGGGTTTTCTAGCATCTGCTAGAAATGTCTGATGATCAGCAAGGTCATTGGACTCCATTCTCGTGATGGTTCCTCCTGAGTTTTGCAGACATGAGAAGTCAGAATAGCTCAAATTATGTTTTGAAATCTGTTTGCTGATCCAAACTAACCTCAGATTCTTACCTTTCTGTTGTTTCACCCAGCAGTGTAATCTAAATTGGTCTTCTGGCACGGCAACAAACATGTCACACTCAGGAAATAGTGCTCTGGCAAAGTGCAGGTTTCTCCATCTGGGGTAGTGTGCATCTCTCCTGCCTCCTCCTTTCCCCGTGCAATCTGTTGAGGTGTTCTCACAAAATACAACATTGCTGTGATTTTTTTTTCCATTTCAGATTATAGCAACAGCTTTATTATTATTAAGAAAGCCCTGGAAAGTTTGTTTTTCTCCAGCCATGATTCTAACTTCTCTAAGTGTTGAGTTGGACTGCCTTTCTACAGGAAATAGGTGCAAGTGAAAATCATCACCTTGCTACCAGGTGAAACTGAAGATGCTCTTAGAAACTCATTCACCCCTTCCATTAACCTCTCCCTATGCAAAGGCCTAATGGCAACATGAATTCAGTTTCCATCCTGCTTCTTAGAAAGCAGTCTTGGTAAATTCCTGGCAGCTAGATTTTGTGAGAATTTTTTGTATCTGCAAATTAATTATTCCTTGCTTTTACAATACATACCTAGTACCTGTTTACGTAACTGCAAAGGTATATATTTATGACAAGTCATCAGAAGCCTCTGTTTGATGGTAATGCCTAATTCCTGTCTGTATCCCACCCTCTTTACTGCATTAACCCTTGCAAGAAGTTGTAGCTATGAAAGCCTCTGCATACCTTTAAACCTCATCACCTTCTACCCAGACATTCAGCAATCCCCTTGTCTCACACAGCCACCAGTAAAGGCTGTGTGAGGAGCATACCTGTTTCACAACTGCTCGTCTCCAGTGTTTTGTCATGAGTTACAGGATTTGTACTTTGTGAAGTGCAGTGTTGTTTTTGCCTTTTCATTGCCATTAGATTTAGTAATTTCATCAGGTCATGCCTACAAACTAACTTTCAGGTGCTCTTTTACTCCATCACACCATCTGTTTGTGCATTAGGTGCTAACATCTAGTCTATGTCAGTGAATGGTATGATGAACATCGGTATTTGTAACTCTCGGGGATAAGAGCTATAGCCTTAGGCAGAATAAAATACCCAAATTATCCTTGTTTATCCCATGAGCCAGAATATAGAATGCAAAAACCCATCCACTGGTGTAGGTTTTTAAAAATATATATTTATTTATATATATGGATTTATATAAGCATATGCACATATATATATATAAATAGATATATATGTGTATATTGTATAGTGTATGTGTGTATACATAAATACACAGCAGTGTGTCTATACTACACACTGACTAATGAAGGGATGTCCACAGAGCAAAAATAGGTATCCATTTCATTATAACTAGCGATGGGCCTGAACCAAATTCCTAGATCCACATGCCATTGCGTTTGGACTTTTTGAACCTGTTGGAGATTTGTGGTTGAGTTTCATCTCTGGTTACAGGTGCATATACTTGTGTACATTGTATACATGTGGGGGACATGTGTGTGTGTGCACATGTGCTTTTCCAGCAGCACATGCCCGAGTGGGGGAGCGTGCACGTGTTCACAGCTAAACTTTCAGCTGCAGTGAGCTGTAAAGCTGCCAGTGTCACCCTCACTTGTACAGGCTTGTCAGCAGCACATGAAAGCTTCTGTGGCTCACTTTTCAACTCTTTAAATCACTACATTGAAGTATTACAGTTGTACAGTTATATTTTCATCTATTCTTGCTCTGCTGTAACTTTTTATGTATTTTGTATTGCATAGTTATATATTGTGATAATGTCCTATGCAACTATAAAAGGAAAAAAATTTAAAAAGGAAGAAAATTAAGAACTGTAAAATATTGTCTTAACTTGTATGCATGGTTAGTGAGGTTTACATTTTCAAAAATAAAACTTATAACTATGAAATATTGGTTTTCTATTACTTTCCTTCTCTATTTATCACCTAAAAAGCATCAATTATTAACATTTCTGCTGTTCATTTGAGACTTGATATCTTGTTTGGTGTCTTTATTTAAATTTCACCCAGTACTATTGTTTAAAATGGGATTTCTTTTAATGTTTGAAAGTTTTTGTGATGTTTGCTTTGTATTCTGTGCTTTAGCTGGTATTTTGTAGTTGCATAGTGAAATTCCTTTCTCAAAGGTGGTATATATTGCAATTTTTACAAGATGGTTATGGGATTGATATGTGTGACCTAAAGTTCAGAGAGTCAGCCATCCTTTCTTTCAAAGCTCAGTTCTTTGCAAATTTCTGATATCATCTCTGCAAGTGGCAATACCATGTCAAAACAGTAATGTAACCTCACAGTATCCTGAAATGTTCTTTCCTAATTTTAAAGATAAGAAAATTGAAACACAAATTTGAGCAACTTTCTCAAAAACATAAGGCATTGGCAGATGGGAAGGAAGGAATCTGAAGTTTCTAGAGAATAGAGGTTACACAACGCTTCTAGGCACTGTTTGTTACAACAGGCCCTAAACAGTGGCATTTCCAAAGTCTTCCTACAATGAAAGATCCACCTCATGTTTGATGACAGAAGTGCAGTCAGAGATTGTTTCCTGAACTTGCTAGAAGGAAGAAAAGGGAAACAATTCCCTCCAAAGGACGATGCCTGTACATAGTCTGGAGTTGCTGCCTTGATACTGTAATGTGCCTCCCTGCCCAGCCACCCTCCGTCTGAAATGTGCATTAACACATTCTGTCCTGCTTCTCCTCTCCAGGTTCCTAAATGCAAGGAGTGTGCATCTCTCCTGCCTCCTTTTTCTGTCTTGCAAGGGTTTCTGTCTTGCCTGTGACTCAGTGTTTGCCATGAAATGTTCATAGACTTGGCAGGAGTCCAGCATTTCAGAAGAGAAGCAAGAATAGTGCTAGAATTAGGGTGGGATTTTCCTATTTCCATTTGCCTGTGTATAATTTCTGTCTTCAAAGTAATCCACCTTAAGATTCACTGTGCTGGCTTTTCAAGGAACCACACCCATGGCATGCTTTGCTAGTTGACTGTAAGAGATTAAAGTGACATAAATATACACAGTCAATAGAAAGAGATAAAAAAGTGAGAGAAGATGAAGACTGAAATAAAAATGAGGTGAAGACAATGAGACAAGTGTTTGTAGCAGCTGACTTGAGAGTCTTGTACAGCACCAGAATCCATGTGGGGCTTCCTGCAGAATTTCAGAGTAAGCAAGCAAGGCAGCACCTTTGGAGATGAGCAGAAACTGGAGCATGTTTTCCAAGAGCAGCAGAGAAGGGAGCTAAGCAAGAGTTGAAGCAGGCAAGCCAACTACACTGCATTGC